TGGGGGCAGCACAGAGGGACGGTGCCAAGTGACCTGCAGCGCCAGTAGCTCTGTGAACAGCCTGAGGCCATTATCTGACCGCAAGAGACATTCGGTTAGCATCGATTGCCTGGGAGAGGAGCATCTGGCAAGGCTGGGGAGAGGGTGCAGAGCCAGAATTGACCACATGGCTGTCAGCCTCCGAGGCTCAGGAGCCCTATGGACCTGCCGGGGTCCGTGGGGATGCCAGTGCATCAGGCTGCTCCTGTGCAGGCGTGTGGAGGGGGAGCCCCTTTGGGGCCGGGTGGAATCAGACGTAGGTCAGCGGGAGGCCTGAGGTACTGGGGTCAGAAAGGGCTGGGGTCATGCCGTGCCCTCCTGAGCAGCATGGAGCGTCTGGAGGCAAGGGCTGTTGGATGAGACCGGCTCCACTGCCTGGCTCACCAGCTGCGAGGGCTTGGCCAGCCACGGCCTTCTGCGCTCCGTGTCCTCCGCCAGGAACCGGCATCAGCCACGGGTGCTGTGAGGAGTCCCTGTAGAGAACCTGGCACAGGCTGAGGGCTGGGTCTTCCCTGTTTAGCTCCCTTCCTGCTGCCGGGAGCAGGGGAGGAGCAGGCCCCTGCCCCACTGGCCATCCAGCCTGGACTGGGGGAGGAGCCCTGGGCTGGTGTGACAGCCTCTATGGGAGACCTGGCTGCTTAGAGGCTGAGAGAGGGACAGGGTAAGGTGGGGGCCTGCTCCCCACCCATCCCACCACATCCACCCCGCATGGGACCGTTCAGAAGCCCATCTTTGGGACGGGCTGCTGAGTGGACTGGGTGAGTCCATGCCCAGGCTAGGCCCCTCCAACCCAACAGGGGAAGGGTTTGGGGGCTTTGCTGGCAGGAGAACCTGAAAGCAATGCCTGCGTTCCATTCCTGCACACCCTCTGTGACAGGGGCAGCAGGAGCCTTCCCTGAACTCCCCCACGCCTCCCACACACCCCGAGGTGCCTATTGTAGGCCCAGCACCTGGCCAGACTGCCTAGTGTTATGAGACCCCCTATCCTCCAGGCCATGAGGACTTGCCCAGTTGGCCCAGGTCCCTCCCTGCCCTGGCATCCTGGGTACTCAGGATGTATCTGGATGTACCTGGCAGTAAGTGTTGGATGGAGGAAGGAATGAATGAGGTAGCAGAGACCCAGGGAAGCTCAGATATGTGGGAGACCAGGAGGTTAGGGAGTAGCTGGCAAAGCAGTCAGTCAGGTGCATACCCCTAGAAGTGGAGGAGGAGGAGGAAGAGGATGAAAAGGAGGAAGAGGAGGAGGAGGAGGGAGAGGAGGAGGAGGAGGAGGAGGAGAAGGAGAAGGAAGAAGAGAAGGAGGAGGAGAAGGAAGAAGGAGGAGGAGAAGAAGAAGGAAGAGGAGGAAGAAGAGAAGGAGGAGGAGAAGAAGGAGGAGGAGAAGAAGGAGGAGGAGGAAGAGGAGGAGAAGGAGGAAGAGGAGGAGGAAGAAGAAGAGAAGGAGGAGGAGGAGGAGAAGGAAGAAGAGAAGGAGGAAGGGGAGAAGGAGGAGGAAGAGGAGGAGGGGGAGAGCACGAGGAAGGCCAGAGAGTGGGGGAGACCCAGCCTTGTTTTTTTCAGCTCCCTCAGGCAAAGCAACCCCTGCCTTACCCGGAGGGGACAGAGGAGGCTGATGGGAGGGGGAGCAAGCTTCTCCCTGGAGACTTGGATCCCTGCTAATTTGCAATCTTAAACCGCTCGGCAGAGGCACCGGCCTCCTTGTTAGAGCACTAATCAGCAATCAGTGGGCCGGGCTCCCATGGGCCTCGTGGAGGGGGCACCAGAGGCTCGGCCATGTAACGCCAGCCTTCCTGGAGGAGCCTGGCAGGGTGAGGACCGGGGCCAGAGCACGCCGGCTTGGGCAGGGGTGCTGGAGGCAGGTGCCAGGGCTGGCTGGGAGGGCTGGTCCAGGGCCTTGGCGACGGGACCAGCTTCCGGAGTGGAGAAGCAGACTCAGCTGAGACCCACTCGGTGCCCAGGGGGAGGGGGAGCTTCCGGGGCACGGGCTCCCTGGCATCTGAGCGGTAATGAAGGACAGAGAGCAGCTCCAAGCATTGGCTGGGCCCCTCACTCCCTCTGGGCCCCTCAGGAGGACAGGCAAGGCGGCTCCGGCCCTGGTCCTGCCTTCCCCCTCCCCTGTTATCTGACCCCCTCCCACTTGCCAAAGTGTGTTCATGTGCCCGCTGCTAAGCTACACCCAGATTTTGGGGCAGTTGGCTTTTGCACCCAAACCGGGGCCTTCACCTGGCATTCCCCTGGTTCCCCAATATTCCCTGGAGACACCTGTTTGAGAAAGGGGTGTTGCTTCTCTGAGGAGCATTTCAGATGAACCCATCTCAGCACCTTAAACCGATTTGGCTCAATGGATAGAGCGTCGGCTTGGGGACTGAAAGGTCCCGGGTTCGATTCCGGTCAAGGGCATGTGCCTTAGTTGTGGGCATATCCCCAGTGGGGGTGTGCAAGAGGCAGCTGATCGATGACTCTCATCGATGTTTCTAGCTCTCTATCTCTCTCCCTTCCTCTCTGTATAAAATCAATAAAATATATTTAAAAAAAAAAAAAGACAGGGCCATAAAAGCAGGCAGAAGGGCTGTCTGAACACCCCCTCCGACCCCCCGTTCTTGGGGCAGGAAAACCCTCAGGGTAATCCTGAGGCCCAGAGAGGCTTGAGCAGAAGTACTTTGTCAACTCCATAAGCTGCACAAATGTCAGATGGCATTAGCCTGCCCAAGCTCACCCCATCCCCATGGTGAGCAGCTTAAGGGAAGGAAATGCCTTTGTCTTTGCAGAACCCTCCAGATGGGGTGGAGGGTACGGCCCTGTGTGTCTCCCAAGCACAGGCTCATGGCCATGGCCCTGCCCCCTCAGCACAGCGAGCACCGTGAACTCCCCTGAGCAAGGAGGGGAATGGGTCTCCCCCACGTGGCCGGTGGGGGCTGCCCCCGGGGCAAGGTCCCTGGAAGACGGCAGCCTGGGCGGGGGGTGGGGGTGGTCATGGAGTTGAGCGAAGGGAAGGGGAGTGTCAGGCTCTGGAAAGTGCAGCCAATGTGGGTTGGGCTCTCCTCCCCGCCCTGGGTGTTGGAGGTTCAAGGCAGCAGGCAGGTTCTGCAGGAGTCAGCTGGCATCTGGGGTCCAGCTCCAGTGCCCTCACACTCCCATCTCTCCTGTGGGGCTGGGGTCCCTGGGCCAGAACGAGGTGGGAAGTGGGGGGCTGGAAGCCAGACCCAAGCCTCCACATGGTTGGCATGGGGATCATTGACTCATGGTACAGAAGGGAAATGGGCAGAGGAGATGTGCCAGCCTTGGGCCTGGCCTGCAGGTCGCAGGCTGCCCAGGCGTCCTGGTGACTGAAGGCACTGCCGGGCTGCAGAGAGCATGGCCTGACCCACAGCTGCATTGCCACCACCACCACCACCACCACCACCACCACCTAGGTCATAATTGCTCTGAAGTCGTAACTGAACCCAATTATGCAAAAACCAAATTGTGTGCCATGATTTTTATGTGTTGGAAGCCGGGTGATTACAGGGGGCCGGGAAGCAGCTGCCACTCTCTGGGAGACCGTAACTCCCAACAGCTGGGAGCTGTCACGTATTTACGACGCCATTTCTGCTGGAAACGGGGGCGGGGGGGGGCGGGGGAGGGGTGGCGGAGAGGCGTGCCAGGGCCTGGGCCTGGGTCGGGGCAGAGGCAGGCCTGGGCACCAGCGGGGTAGCCAGCAGGAGGATGGGTGCAGGACGGGCTGGAGTGAGGCTGGAAGGGCTGGTTCTCTCGTTCTGCACACTCTGGGCATAGCTGGCAGCAGGGGGCATCGGCAGAGCTGCCCCAGGCCCCCAGCTCTTCCGAGAGGCCAGGCTGGAAGGGGAGGGCAGGAGGCCAACCCGGGCAGCCAGGAGCCTGGTGCCTGTCCCCCCAACACGGGCGCGCCTGCCGGGCTGCCAGGGGCAGCTGCCACCCTGGAAAAAGGCAACTAATGACCATGGGCCATAATAAGTCAGCTCCCGTAATGAGCCCGGGGCTATTATCCGACCGCAGGCTTGACGCATCCGAAAATAAATTATTTTAAGGATCCATTAATGCATGCCTAATTAATGCCCAATTAGAGGGAAGCTACAGAGAAAACACTCCGGACAGTCTGGAGGCATGGTTTGGCTTACAAGCACAGCCTGGGAGTGAGCGTGAGGTGGGGAGAGGGGCGGAGCCAGGCGGGGACCTGAATGGCAGCAGTCTCTGTCTGGTCTGGCCGCTTCCTGGGCCCCCAGCCCTGCCGGCCCTGGTCCCTCCCCCAGGCCTCTGCACACCTGTGTCCTCTCCGTACCTCTTCACAGCTGTTCCTATTTAGAAGTGAGGGGTGTCACTTATTGGAGGATGTGGGAGGCCCTGTAAGCGAGATGTTTTCTGAAATCAACTCTGGTGTCCTGCATGCACGCTTCGCTTGTTTGGGGAAACGATTTAAATAAAGAGACTCCTCAGAACTCCATGTGATACATTTGCTCGGGTAGGACAGGAGGCTGCCCCACTCTGTGTTCACACAGGTAATGGGAGGTTGACTGCTGTGTGACCCACCCTACCCCACCCCATGGGCTGACAGCCGGGGGAGGTGGGGCTAGGAGGCTGGGCCGGGTTAGGGTTTGGGGGCGGGGCTAGGGAGAAGGTGTGGGAATCAGAGAGCCTTCCTTCACATCCCAAGCTTACTGATCTCACAGCCCAGGCTGGGGAGGGAACCCCAGGAGAGGTGGGGTGCCAGGATGTGGGGAGCAGCATCCAGCTGCAGATGGGGGGCTGGCTTGGGCCTGACCCCTGCCTTCCTGCCATCAGGAGTCAGGCCCTCAGGGGACCACCATCCCAGACAAGTGAGCGAGAGGCAGATTAGACGGAGTCCCAGCCTCCAAGGGGCGGCACGTGCCACCCAGTCCTCTCCTCCCCAACCGCGACCGCCGCCCCTGACCTGCTGTGCTCTCTCCCCCCTCCCCCCACCCCAGGGTGCTGCGTGGAGCTGCTGCTGCTGCTGCTGGCCGGCGAGCTGCCCCTGGGCGGCGGCTGCCCGCGGGACTGCGTGTGCTACCCGGCGCCCATGACGGTCAGCTGCCAGGCACACAACTTCGCCGCCGTCCCCGCGGGCATCCCCGAGGACAGCGAGCGCGTCTTCCTGCAGAACAACCGCATCGCCGAGCTGCGGCCGGGCCACTTCAGCCCGGCCACCGTCACCCTGTGGATCTACTCCAACAACATCACCGCCATCGACCCGCGCACCTTCGAGGGCTTCGCGCACCTGGAGGAGCTGGACCTGGGCGACAACCGGCAGCTGCGGACGCTGGCGCCCGAGACGTTCCGGGGCCTGGCCAGGCTGCACGCGCTCTACCTCTACCGGTGCGGGCTCGGCGCCCTGCCCGCGCGCCTCTTCGGCGGCCTGCACAGCCTGCAGTACCTCTACCTGCAGGACAACCAGCTCGAGCACCTGCAGGACGACGTCTTCGCCGACCTGGTCAACCTGAGCCACCTGTTCCTGCACGGCAACCGGCTGCGGAGCCTGGGCCGCGACCCCTTCCGCGGGCTGGTGAACCTGGACCGGCTGCTGCTGCACGAGAACCGGCTGCAGTGGGTGCACCCCCGGGCCTTCCACGACCTCGGCCGGCTTACCACGCTCTTCCTCTTCAACAACAGCCTCTCCGAGCTGCAGGGCGACTGCCTGGCCCCGCTGGCCGCGCTGGAGTTCCTGCGCCTCAACGGCAACGCCTGGCACTGCGGCTGCGGCGCGCGCTCGCTGTGGGCCTGGCTGCGGCGCTTCCGCGGCTCCAGCTCCGCGGTGCCCTGCGCCGCCCCCGAGCCCCTGCGGGGCCGCGACCTGAAGCTGCTGAGCGCCCAAGACTTCCGGAACTGCTCCGGGCCCGCGTCCCCGCACCAGATCAAGTCCCACACGCTCCCCACCACCGATAGGGCGGCGCGCAAGGAGCACCACCCGGCCCGCGGCGGCGCCAGGGACAAGAGCCACCCGCACGGCGGCTCCGGCTCCCGGACCGGCTCCCGGAAGCCAGGCAAGAACTGCACCAGCCACAGGAACCGCAACCAGGTCTCCAAGGGGACGCTGGAGCTGCAGGACTACGCCCCCGACTACCCGCACCAGTTCAGCTTCGACAGCATGCCCACCGCGCGGCCCAAGAGGAAGGGCAAATGCGCCCGCAGGACCCCCATGCGCGCCCCCAGCGGGGTGCAGCAGGCCTCCTCCGGCAGCTTCCTGGGGGCCTCCGTGCTGGCCTGGATCCTGGGGCTGGCGGCCACGCTGCGCTGAGGACCCCGGTCACCAGCTCCCAGCATTGCCACGTGTCCACCAAGAAACAGCGTGTCTTTTCTTTTTTTATATATATACCAGTGGAGGATCTGCTGGGTTTTAGGCAGAGGCTGAGAAAGGCTTTGGCTGCTGCCTGGGTCCTGCCTGGTGGATTATAAACCCAAAGTGTACAGCCCCCAGCAGGAGGGAATGAACACCCCTCGCCCAGCTGCCTCAGCCAGCCCCCTCTGAGCAGCCAGGACAGCACCCATCCAGCGAGGCGGGAAGCAGGCAGAGAGCATCCTCCTTCCTGAGCAGCCCCCGGGACCGCGCCCCACGGGAGCCGAGGAATCCCGGTGATTTGGAGATGTCTGAGGGGCCCCTACCCTCCTCGGAGGAAGCAGGACTCAGAGGAACAGTCGATGGTCACACAAGAGGCTGGGCTGACCAGCTGGCCCGACTGGGAGCGCATGATCAGGTGTCATTTTGGCTTTTGCCTGAGGCCACTTAGTCACCCTGCCCTGGATCCCACGGTGCACCACCCTCAGGCCCTTCCCTGGAGTGACACCTCTCATTCCCGATGTCTCAGGCAACCCTGGTCCCCCGGCCCAGACCCCGGGCTCCACGAACCAGTTACCAAAGGCAAGATCGTCAGAGGCTGAAATTCAGAACTTCATCACGTGCAATGAGGTTCCCACAGGAGGTGCCGTTTTATAACTATGTCCACTTATATATATATATATATATACACACACACACACACACACACACACGCACACTCTCTACATATACACACACACACACACACACACATATATATATATATATATATATATATACACACACACAAAGACACAGGTCCCTGCTCCACACCCTTACCAAACTGTATGTATGTCTTACCATGTTTATAAACTTTATGGAAAACTATATCTGCTGAACTGAGAATTGTATTGGTGATTTCTAGCAAGGAAAAGAGTTTATAGGGTTTTTGTCTAGAATCCCAACCTCCAACAGCAGCCCTCATGTAACCTGGGCTTGCCAGGGGCACGGGCAAACGGTCAGTAGGGAGGGTCGGCAAGAAGAGGAGGCAGTGAGAATCACTTCAGGGGACCAATATTCTTAGGTGTTTAGAGCATCACCTTGTTTTTTATACGCAACACAGGCCATCTGCCGCCCAGAGCGCCATCGCCCCCCCCCCCCCCGCCAGTAACTGCTGTGAGATGTGAGAAGCAGCTTGTTGGACATCAGGGAGCCGGGTCCTGGGAACAGGCTGCATGGAGAAGGGGCAGCAGGGGCTCCAGGCTCCTCAGGCCATCGGGTGAAGCAGCCTCCTCAGTGTTTGTTCAATAGGCAGAGCAGTATCCTCAGCCCAGGGTGTGGCCAGGGAGACTGTGAGCAGGAGCCCAGGCCTCCAGCTGAGCTGCTGGATTGGGGCTCTCTGGTGGGGTCCCCGCAAGGACCCTGTGTAGGATGGCAGGATGGAAAGGACCTGGTGGCCTTAGCAGGTGGGGAACAGCGAGAACCATCTCAGGCACTTCTGCGCTGTGGGGGCCCTGTCCCTGCTGGTCCTTCCGAAGGTGCCGGGGGACGGGCAGAAGCCAGGGAGCCAGACTCGGGAGTCAGGAGTGGGGACTGGCCGTGAACACAGAGGGCAGCTCAGACAGGGGACAGGGGCTCCAGTCAAGGTCGGCCGTGCCCCTTGCTGGCCGGGGCCTGGGCGGGCACGACCTCCTTTGCGCTTTGCACAGACCTGCATTCCCTGCCAGAGAGGATGTGTCTGAGGAGCAAGGAACGCTAAGTCCAATTAGGAGAGAAAAATAACAATAAAACACTTTTTTTCTCTTGGACAAGAAGCCTGTTTCTCATTTCCTAAGCCCGCATTCCTGCAGGGGCGCAGCTCCCAGCTTTCGGGGTGGGCGGGCCTGGCTGGGCCCCACTCTGAAGCCCAGCGTGTTTGTTGGCGGGAGGAGCTGTTCGGGGCAGGGACACGCTGACTCACTGGGGTGCATGAGCACATGCATGTACACACACACACACACACACACACACACACACGGTTCTTCGCTCGCCCGCACAGAACATGACTCACTCCCCACACTCTGGCCTCGCTGTCTCTGTGGCCGGCACCATCGCTGTGGCTTTCCCCGGAGCAGGCTGGCTGGATCCTTCCCGGCTGTTCCCAAGGGCCTCACCCGCAGCAGCTGAGTTATTGATTCTTGTGAGGGGGCCGGGAGGGAGATGGCTGGAAAGGAACTGCCAGTTCCGGGGGCCACGCCAGACGGCGGTGAGAGTTCTCAGGTAGAGGGAGGAGAGCTATGTGTGTGTTTTTATTTTTTATTTTTATTTTTATTTTTTTCTTAATTTTTATTGTTCATATTATTACAAATGTCCCTTCCCCCCCTTCCCACCCCACCCTCTGCCCTTTCCCCAACCCCCATTGTCCTCATCCATAGGTGCACAGTTTATGTTCAGTCTCTTCCGATATCCCCCTCTCCCCTTTTCCCCAAGAATCATCAGTTCACTCCCCTTCCATACCTCTGATTCTATTATATTCAACAGTTAATATTGTTCCTCAGATTTTTTTTTTAATTTCCTTGGTTTTTAGATTCACTTGTTGATAGTTACATATTTGTTGTTCATAATTTTTATCTTTTACTTTCTCTTCTGAAAGAACCCCCTTCAATAATTCATATAATTCTGGTTTGGTGGTGATGAACTCCTTTAGCTTTTTTTTATTAGTGAAGCTCTTTATCTGACCTTCGATTCTGAGTGATAGCTTTGCTGGATAGATTATCTTTGGCTGTAGGTTCTTACTATTCATCACCTTGAATATTTCTTGCCATTCCCGTCTGGCCTGCATGGTTTCTGTTGAGAAGTCAGCTGACAATCGTATGGGTGCTCCTTTATAGGTAACTACCTGCTTAGCTCTTGCTGCTTTTAATATTTTCTCTTTGTCTTTTGCTCTTGGAATCTTAATTATGATTTGTCTTGGTGTGGTCCTCTTTGGATTCCTTTTATTTGGAGTTCTGTGTGCTTCCTGGACTTGTAAGTCCAATTCTTTCCCCAGGTGGGGGAAGTTTTCTGTCACTATTTCTTTCAATATGTTTTCGATATCTTGCTCTCTCTCATCTTCTGGGACCCCAATAATTCTGATGTTGGATCGTTTGAAGTTGTCCCAGAGGTTTCTTACATCATCTTCAATTTTCTGGATTCTCTTGCCTTCTAGCTTCTGCAGAGGAGTATCTTCTGGCTCTTTATGTTCCAAATCTTTGACTTGATTCTCAATTTTCTGGATTTTCTTGCCTTCTAGCTTCTGCAGAGGAGTTTCTTCTGGCTCTTTATGTTCCAAATCTTTGACTTGATTCTTGCGATCTTCTATTCTGTTTTTAGGACTCTGTATAATAGTTTTTATTTCAGACAATGTATTCTTTATTTCTTGTTGATCCCTTTTCATATCCTCATAAGTCTCATTTATTTTATCGGCCTTTTCTAGGAAACTCTTGAAAAACCTTATAAGCGTAGATTTGAACTCTATGTCCAGTCGCTTTTTGTCCTCCATTTCTTTCGTTTGTGATCTATTTGGTTTAGGCATTTTCGCAGGCAGCTTTCCTGATGGGGCGGAGTTTCAGGGTGGAGCCTACAGCTTTGGCTTCCGTCAGCCCCGCCCTATGCGACTCCTGAGACTCAGGGTCCTTCAGTACTTGTTGTAAGCGCCTCTGAGAGAAAGGTGCCCTGGATTTTTGCCTGCTGCCAAACAGTCTAGTCTCTCCCCCAATGAGCCCGGTATTGGGGTTCAGTTCAGTTGGAAGTGGAGTTGGAGGTGGCCTTCAGAGCAGACTGGAGCCCCTGTCTCCTTCCCGCCAGGCAATCCCGCGGCACAGCCGGCCGTCCCTTCTCTGTGCTGCGCCGCCGCCGGGACCTCCTTTCGCCTCTTCCCCGGGTTCCGCCTTTCAGCCCGGCTCCCTCTGTGTGAGCCTGGGTCCCCGGGGTCTGGCCTAGGCCTGGGGTTCAGAGCAGTCGGGGGCCCGACACAGTCGGAGTTTTATCTCCTTCCCACCAGGGAACGCCCGCCAGGCACCCCGCCGCCCTCCTCTCCGGCTCCGTCCTCTCCGCGCGCCGCGTGTCTCCGTACCTTAGGCTTTTCCAGCTCCTCCACGCTTCCTTCTGGTTTCCTCCTTGCTTCTCGTTGTAGAATTTCCAGTCAGTCGACTTTTCTGTAGTTCTGGGTGATGTCCATTTTATATTTTAGTTGTATTTTATTGAAATTGTTGCGTGCGGCTGCGGCTAGGTGCCTACCCGAGCAGCCATCTTGGATTCTCCTATGTGTGTGTTTTTAAAAGCCTCACCCAAGGATACATGTTACTGATTTTATAGAGAGGGAAAGGAGGCCGGGGAAGGGGACTGAGCCCACATCCTAGGTATATGTCCTGACTGGGATTCGAACTGGCAAACTTTCGACGTATAGGACAACCCTCCAACCAACTGAGCCGCACCGGCCAGGGCCGGGCTGTGCTTTCAAGTCTGGATAAATCCTCCTCCGTACAGGCCGGGAGTGGGCACTAAAGGGAGACCACCACGGGCAGAACAAATTGTCTGCGGCCCCTGGCTGCTCCCCGAAGGCCACCCGCCCGTATCCAGGCCTGTGCCAGAGCCTGCTGTCCCTTCGCACCCAGGGATGCTGTTGGGGTGTTGATTTCATTTCCAACTTTAGACAGCAAAGCCCTCAGTGGGAAAATCAAGAGTCCGAGTCCTTTATTAAATTTCTTTTAAAGACTCGGTAAGTCCCTGTAATATGGGAGGGAAGTGTCAGGATGAGAAATGCTAATGTCCTGTCACTGATCCGCTTCTGTCAAGCGTACGCGCAGTCCTGGCTGCCGATGGTTATTGGGGGCAAGGCAGAGGGCCCAGGACGCCGGGGGGAGGGGGAGGTGTTTAGCAGCTTCTCCAACAGGTGGGAGGGACGAAGCAGTCCCTCTGTGGATGACATCACGGTCACTGGGCAGGCTCCATGCTACCCAGTG